CATCGTGCACCCGCTGAAGGCGCGGGGCAGGTGCCAGGAGGCAACCTCTTCTGTATGGCTCAGCGCGATGGTCTGGGTGTGGGTCATGGCGCAGGTAGCTCCCGATTTCACCTTCAACAAGATGGACGACACGGGGACGCGGTGCCACGACACGACCGGGCACGAGAACCTGGGCGTTTACTTGCCGTACACCGCGGCCGTCACCGTGACTGGGTTCGTCATCCCATTCCTCATCATCATCGGATGCTACTGCCACGTGGTGGTGGTGCTCTGCAGGAACGATACCATGGACCTCAGCCTCAGGAGAAGAAGCATCAGACTGGTGATTCTCGTGATGGTCCTCTTCTCCATCTGCTTCCTCCCCTACCACATCTTCAGAAACCTCAACTTGTTGTCTCGAGGCTGGCAGCTGCAAGGGTCCTGCACACAGGCTTTAAAGAACATCTATGTTTCCTACCAGGTGACCCGGGGCCTGGCCAGCTTCAACAGCGCCCTCAACCCCCTGCTCTATGTGATGACCAGCGAAGACTGCATGTCACGTATGAGGACCATCCGCCAAAGAGCCAGCCAGTCCCTGGGGTCCACCTTCGGGAGGAAATCCTCTTGCCAGACAGATGAGAAGAAGATGAGCATCATTCTTTGTGAGGAGGAGGCTTCTGATGAGCTCTGAGGATGCACTTCAGTTTGCGCTTGGCCCCTTCTCGGGAGCAGCCCCCCCACCTTGATGCCTGTTTTGCAGAGAGATGGTGACTGCAGCATCACTGGCTCTAATCTCACACAAGGGACAGGCAGGACTGCTGGCGTCAGAGAGCAAACTGGGACCAGGTTTTAGATCAAAGCTACTCAAGCCAACCATTTTGCCTACAGTACGCCTGGAGATGGAAAGAGAGAAACGTTGCGTTTGCTCCAGACCTGAAGTATATCTCAGCCCAGCCTCCAGTGCAGTGCTCAGAGCTGGGTAACATCCCCTGGATCCCCGGCCGCTCATCGAGCTCCTCAGTGAGTGAGGGATGGGGGTGAACGATGCCTTGTCCCCCTCCTGCATCCCCTCTCCCCCACTGGACGTGGGTTTTAGACAGGATTCCCTCCTTCACCCAAGGAGAGGGCACTGGTAATTAACTCCCTGCATTGCAGCACAGCTGAGAGGGTGAATTTTTGCAGGGGGGAAGTGCTTTGGAAATGGAAATATTCATAAAAATATCAGGTTTTAAATATATGACTAAGCTGTGCCAGTTCCTGGGTTAGTTGTTCCTGGGTGACTGAGCTGCTTCAGGATCTGTGTTATCTTCTACTGCCCACCTCCTTCAGAGAAGAAAAAAGAATTTTAGCATTACTCACTCTCTTCTGGAAAAGCATATAGCAGACAACAACAAATTGGCATTTTAAAGTTTCTGGAGGCTGTTGGTTGGGTTTGGGTTTTTTTTCAAGGCGAATGACTGCAGCAGGCAAATCCCAGGAGAGTTTTGAAATCTTTGGGTGGGTGACTGCATCTTTCTCTTGCATCCAGCCTTGCGAGGGTATTAGACATGTCTATTAAAAATTAGACATGGGAAAAAAAAAAGAGGCAATGCTGGTTTGAAGGCTTGTGAAGGCAAGATTTGGTGGCGAGGGCAGTCCGTGTGTTGTCACCGGGGGGGCCATGGGGATCTCTGCTTCGGGGGGAGCAGAGGCTCCCGAGCGGCATTTTGGTTTTTGCTCTTGATGTTCCCCGCCATGAACAGTTTGAACGCTTCGGTCCTTGTGAAAGGAGCAATGTGATTGGCAACAGCAGATCTTGCAGTTTGGCTGAAGGAAGTGGATTGTGAGTTAAAATCAGCCTGTTCTGGGAAAGTGCCCGTCCACGAATGCCGCGCTCTTTGGACCAAAGCCCGATATTTATCACGGTCAGCTGCTCCTCGCACAGACCCACCTTTGCTGCTGCACAGAGGGAGCCGCGACTGGCTTTCAGACGGAGTTAATATGTCTAAAGCGCAAATAAACACCTAATGCTTTCAGTTCTGAGTCGTCTGGCTTCTTTTAAAGCTTTATAGGAACACAGGAGCCAGCTGGCCTGCGGGCTGGAGCAGGGGCCCGCCTGCTGCGGGGAGCGGTGACGAGTTTCCCAGGGCTCTGCAGACGGGGAGCTGCCGGGAGTGCTGCCCGCCTGCGCGGCGAGACTGCAGGCAGCCAGCGGAGAGCAGTGCTGGGCCAGGCACACACTAGGGTAGGTCCCCAGGCTCAGCAAAGCCCTGAAACTTTCAGCTCCCACCTCATCCAGAGGAAATCAAAAGACAAAGCTTAAATTCCCAGAAGAGATGTTCTTCTGTCTCTGCAGTAGGGAAGATCTTTGGGACATTAGGAGCAGGTCTGGCCTCTGCTGCTTGCACACACTCCCAGGATCTGGGCTTCTCCAGAGCTCTGAACTCTTCTCCTCCTTTTCTGAAAAAATACCCTCGCCTCTGAAAGCTATCCAGCTCTTCCATCTTCCCACATGGATCCCATCCAAGATGCTACAGCTCCCCACAGAACTAGCCTTGGCTCCCCACAGCCCATAGGAGTTGCAGCACCCTGTCAACGCACCCACTTTGTGCCTGATTGATTGAAAAAAAGAATCACTGCATCCCCAGGGAGGGAGAGCTGCGTAGGAAGTGCCAGCAAACTCTGCTCTCATCCCCTGCATTGCTGTGCCCAACTCTGTCTTCTCCAGTGCCCCCTCATGTCACTGTTAATGATGATTTAAAGATCTGTATCCCAAGGAACACCTCTGAGCCCCAGGGATAGTTGCAACCATAAATCTCCTCATTTTTCTGTGTCCTGCATCTGTCAAATCAGCAAAAGCCACTAAGGATCTGTGTGTTGGGCTGATCCTCCCGAGATCCAGGGTTTTTTTGGTACCTCATGCTTTGCAGTCCCCTTGATTGTCAGACAATACTGCTTCCTCTTGTGAGTTGAAGAAATGGGCTCCTTCCCTTTATTAGCTGTATGGGTAATTACAGGCCAACCGCTGGCACATGAGCCTGCGTGGTCGGCTTTCACAGCTGGTGAGGGAGCAGCAAAGCAGCCCTCCTTCCTCCAGCCCCCCCAGTCAAGGGAGGCTCCTTCCCTCGCAAAGAGCAGCCGCAGCTCTCTGCGGGACACTCCAGCTGCATGGTCACTGCTGGGGACCCGCTCAAAATGCGTGGGCACCGCTGACCCCTCAAAACCTCCCCAGTGCTCTTCATCCCCTGGGAGCAGAGGGGTGGGATTGTCCCTGCAGCAACCAGCAGCTCTTGCTTTGTGCTTGTCCCCAGTCATGGCATGGGGAGGTGAGGAAGTAGTGCGTGTTTCGGCAGTGGATGAGGGGACAGGGAGGGCGGGGAGCTGCCATATTCCCCCTTCCCCTTCTCCCAGCAGCTCTGCCAACCATCGGCAGGGCCACGCACAAGTGTTTGCTGCTGGCAGGAGGGGGTCAGTGCCCACAGGAGTTGCTGTGCCGTGGTTGCATCCTGAACCAGGCGTCAGCCTCGGTTCCTGGCTGGCACGAGTGCAGGGAGAAGACCTGAGCAAAAGACCTGTGGCAGCGCCTGGGTCAGCACCCACCCGCTCAGGGGCTGGCTTTGAGCGAGGTCCTTTCCCCTCTGCTGCAGAGACCTCCCAGAGCTGTCAGGTTCCTTCACACGAGCTGCATATCCTCCTGGGGTGAGGTGGCTCTGCAGGAAGAAATAAATTAATTTCACCTCTTTTGGGCTCCTGGCTTAAGATGATCTGAATGTTCCTCCTTCCCTCCCTTGGCTATCTTGCTGGACTTGAAGATGCCTAAAATCAGGCGAGAGGAATCCCACCTGTACCGTCTGTTTTTCCCACAGACTCTCTGGCACAGTGAAGTGGAACAATGAACTTGTCTGCAAATCCAACCCGAACGCAGATTTTTAACTCTCTTATCCAGATTAGACCCAACCAACAAACCAAACATGGTGGGAACTCCCCTCCTGACATTAACGGGATTGGGATCAAGCCTGGAAATTTGGCAGCATTTCTTGCTTCATTAAATAAACCCTTCTTGGTTGAGGATTTGTTGCAAATACAGTCAAGATTTGTTATGTTAAAGAGAACTTCTGAGCTGACAGCCCCGGGAAGCTGTTCAGGCAGAATTAACAGGCACATGTACAGACGCA